AAACACACACAGACACACACACACACACACACACACACACACACACACACACACACGCACAAGGATATACAGATTATGCTGTCATTCAGCCCTAGTTTATGGTGTCTGTACATGAGCATGTGTGTAACTGGGATTAGGGGTGATATAACAAGCTGTCTGTGTGTGCAGGAGTACAAGGCATGTATGTGCGTGTTTCTATAAGCGTGTGTGTGTGTTTGTGTGGGGGTATCCATGTTGGATTAGAAACATGTGGGTGTCTGGTGGCAGAATGCAATGAAAGACAGACGTCAACAGGTCACAGCGAGCCACACGTTGCATTGGATCCAAAATGTAACCTGCAGGACTGGACATTGCTTTTCATGAGATCCTATTCATAGCAGTATTTGCTGGGAACTTTAATATGGCTGGTGATTTCTCCAGGCACCTCAGCACGAAAGTTCAAAAGATTAAAATGCAGACATGTTTGGTAAATAACCCATTGGAGCGCTGCGCTGTTTCCTGTAGACACGAGGGAATCTTGAAGTTAATAAGCAAATGTCTATCTGCAAGGCACAACTCACTAGGGGAAAAGGAATGAGTATCTGCTCAAATCTAGTTTTGCAATTAACATGGAGCTAAAAAGTAAAGAACATGTGGTTAATCAACAATGGTCAGGTCAATGTCAAAAAAAGTTAGTAACTTTTTAATTAGAGCTTGCGGTGAGATAGACTGTTGTATGTTGGACAGAAGCATCATGGTTCAGTTCCTTAATCGTAAAGAACTCATGTATATTATTTGCAAAGGCAAGCCTTCTGCCACTGTATCAGCAAATCTATTGTAAACATGAAGCATGTCATTTCTGTGCGACTGCAATCATCAGACAGCATTGCAATAACAATGACTCTCATCTGCTGCCCCAAACCTGTCGAGTCAATGTTGCTTTGTGGAGCTGAGATGCTCTAAACAATGTCTTTTTAGCATCACATAGCAGCAGTGTTCACACTTTAAGGAATTTAATTATCCAAAAGCTTCATATTATTCTGGGAAAGGAAAAAAAAAAAAACATGAAATCAACATCGCCTCTAAAGTGTCATGAAACACTAAAACACTTTTTAATATACAGTGGGTACGGAAAGTATTCAGACCCCCTTAAATTTTATCATTCGATTAAAACAACCAATTAATTGCACATTTTTTCTGAAATTAATCACAATTAATCTCACCTAACATTAACGCTTTTAAATATACTTTTATATTACAATAATTTCACATGCAACTTTTTTATGACTTAAAGGGTTAGTTCACCCAAAAATGAAAATTAGCCCATAAATTACTCACCCTCAAGTCATCCTAGGTGTATATGACTTTCTTCTTTCAGACGAATCCAGTCGGGAGTTATACAAAATTGTCTTTGATCTTTCAAGCTGTTTAATGCCACTCAGCGGGTGTTGCATGCATCAGTCCAAAAGAAGTGAAATAAAAAGAGCCCATCCATAAAAAAAAGTGTCTCACACGGCTCCAGGGGGTGAACAAAG